TTGGTCGTAGTACAACATGCAAAATAGTTTTCCACGTAAAATCGAATAACTGAAAAGCAACTACGTAGAATAAGTATAGATGTGGGGAATATACCGCTCTTTCGGCGCAGTTCGGCGCCGGGGGGGTCATCTTGCACTTTTGGTACTTCTTATCGACCCATCTAGAGAGCCTTTTCGTGAGTTGACAGGTTTGACCATAGTGGCTTGATGAACTTGCTCCAGCTTCACAGGACTTCACAGGTTTCTCAAGTAGTGTAAACCGGAACTAGCGGAGCAATGAAAGTGCAAAATGCCCCCTCCCCCGTTGCCGAACTGCGCCCCTACTTTCTTCTTCTTCCAACGAATTTTTGGCGCTACTCCGTCCCTTCCGTCACTTTCAGCAATGCTGTTTCCACGGCAAGTGGGATCCGTTTCGTGGATACATCACAACCGATTCAATGAAGAAGCGAAATAGTGGAGAGAAGCGCGACCCACCTCACCTACCTTGAGGGAGACTGGATCCCAGCTGAGCCAAACTTCCCTCCAATACTCGCCTGGTATTAAAGTCGTCAGAGATCGGGAGGGGGAAGAGGAGGGCCAGCTCTGAGCTTGCCTGCAGGGTGGTACTTTCACTTTTGGGCCAAATCATCTCTGAACCCCATTCAGACCCATAGGAAACCCTAGTGGCTCCGTGCTCGGAATATATGTAGTGCCGCTTTCACACCTTGCACCGCTGACACGTGAAGAAACGGCTTGATTGACCAGTGATAATTCGTCATACCCCTTTATCACTTTAGACAGGTACCGCACGCTTACCTGTGAGCCGCACTACTAGAGTCGCTGACACCTTTCCCCTTCCTCATAAGCTCTCGTGCGACTCTCATCACTCTCATTTCCCTACCATATATATATAAATGTATGCTTTCAAATTATAACCAGTCTTGTTAGAATCGATGCAACTAAGTTTTATAAAAAAGAAAGCTCTAAAACTAGAGGAGCATTGGAGAAAATCTCATTTGGGACGCCTAAAACTAATATTAGACTTAAAAGCTTCACATGTCGCGCTGGATCTGAATTCAGTTCACTCAGAATAGCCATGCCTCTTGCCCCTCATGCTTTTTTACCATTTAAATGTTTAGTTAGAAAAAAGTTATTGAAGTTTGATTTGTAAGATCAACTCTCGTATGTATTCATTGTATTTATGTATTCGCATTATTTCTCACGCTTGCCTTATGCAACGTACGAACAATAAACAATAAACAATAAACAATATATGTTCCGTTCACGTCGTCTTTACCACTTACCACTGTGTCTTTACCACTTTAAACTCTGCGGCTGATTCGAACGAATTTATAAGTTACCGGTCAGGACAAACAAGAGCAGACAAACTTAGCGGGCTATAAATAGCGGGATCTTTTGGTCGATGTTCGTTCTATAGCACGTTCCAGACAAATGCTGTTCTTCCCGCAGCTCAAGTGGCAAAATATGTGGAAACACCAATCATCAGCCGCTCAGTCATTAGCGAAAAAAAAATGTCCTCTCGAAGTATTGCCTCAGAGTGAGCCTGAAATCTCGAAGGTAGTCAGGGGAGATTGAGCTCGTAAATCAATAAGATTCTGAGCCTGAAAGGGCAGTTAAAAACTACTTGGTAATGATTGCTAGAGTCTGAATTGGCTGCGGTTGTTTCTAAAAATGATTTCATATGAAACATTGAGAGTGTAAAAATAAAGCTTCCGACACTGGCGAGCTTCTGCCATGAGCGCCCTGCGCTCTACTCCACTCAGAATCGCAGCGGCTCTTCGAACGATTTGGCCTGTAGAAGGAATTGCGTGGGCCAGCTGTTGTACATTTAATATCAAGCAGTCAGTAGGATCGGTTTGCAAAAGGCACGGAATGAGCTCACCTACAGCATTCATCACGTCATCGCTGCCTCGCCGCAGCGCGCCGCCCTGAACCCTTCCTTCCTAAATTGATGCACTAACCGTGCACTACTGGTGAAGACGGCTCTAGCTGGAGGCAAGTTCATTTCGTGCCGCCTTCTGGCACTGCCCGACTCAGCTGCGAGCGGCATGAACTCTGTAAGCAATCCGTCTCAGACAAAGCTTGACACTTAAACTCTCCGATCTGAATGAGAGATGAGAAGGTTTAGGTTGGCTGGGATCCCGTATTTCACCTCAGAACCGGGGAACTGGGGCCATTTGCCGCTACTCCACTCCCAATCTCACCTACGATAATATGGTTCTTTTTTGGTAAGAAGCTGAAAGAGTGTTGTTCTAAACCTTTTTCTCAATAATTTTTCAGCTGAACTGTAGGCATATGATTGTGAACTCGTCGTTCTCTTCGAAGTGTTTTGTTAGGTTTTCCGCTCGTCATGTGAGAATGTCAACATGAGAAAAAGCGGACAGCTATTGAAAACATGACTTGTGTTCTCAAGGGGTGGAACGAAGCAAGAAATAGAGAACTGTCTGTCCGGCTTTCTTATCATTTTTTAATGGTGTTGGGAGACTGCTATTTGGTTAATTTATTGCGCCGGAAAGTAATTCGAGGAGCCAGTTCCCTTCAAAGGGGTCTGGGAGATCCATAATGTGGCGACAGGCACAAAACCTGGCTAGGTAGCAGGTCCTAGCTGATTTTTGACTGGAAATACTGTAGTGTTAAACTAGTCAGATCAATTACACCGGTTGACTTTATAAGCTGTAACACTTCCTTGTTAAATCAGTTAGGTCCTGACACCCCCCGGGCGCGATGCCACGGCTCGTGATTTTAGGTCTGGACCGCCCGCGTCGCCGCAAACAACGGATCGTCGCCGGCCAACCAAGCGCTTCTTTCGATCTTCTGGCCTAATACGTTTTTTTTTTCAGAGCAAATCGAACACAGACATTATTCGAGCATTACTCGTGCTTCGATTATGCGGTATCGATCCCATTGTGAAGAACAATCAGAAGATTCTCTCCATCCTGAGAGCGACGCTTGGGCAATCTTTGTTCAAGAAGATTCTCAAAGGCACATTCTTTGGTCATTTTGTGGCTGGTGAAAGAGCACGTGAAGCGGTTTGTTTGCCAGACTGTTTTTCTGTTAGGATTTTGTGGGAGACGAAAAGAACAATCCCGGTCGCCGTGGTGTCGCGTGTGGCGTATTATGCGCGGCGTATTATGCGGAGGTGCGCTTTTAACAATAAGTGCTGCTCGGTGTTCATCAGGTGTCGATTGCAGCACAATGCGGACAGGGGAATTCAATCGATTTTGCCCATCTTTTTGGTATTTAGATCAAACAGCCGGGCAGGACAACTCGTCCTTCGTGTCACCGCCGCTCACCACCCCTGCGCGGCACCTAACGATTGTCTTGTTCCATGGGGATCTCAACACCCACCACACATACACACATGCATCTCTACTAGGAGATAAAAGTAGTTTGACATGGCAAGAGCTTCGACAGCACACGCTATGCAGCCCCACGCTGTACACAATAGTATGTCGCGGGACGGACTAAACATGCTACCGTCTTGACTGGAAAGGTGACGAAAAGGCACCACACCGCCTGATTCCATCGGTGGGTGAATATAAGGGCACATCGTACATTCAGGATCCCCAGCGAGGGCAGGGGGTCGTATTCGGTCTGTGAAGGGAAGAGGATAATATCCACTTTCGAGAATATTGATGATGTTCGATTGTTGCTTTGTTTGGGTGTTCATCCCGGAAAAAATGAGGGGGGTGTACGAAAAGTGACGGGAAGTTGGGAGAATTTTAGGGAGGATTCCAAGCGGGGTAGGGAGAGGTCGTTCCAGAGAAGGAAATTTGAGGGGGGTCTTATTTTGCAAGACTGTTCCCCAACGGCATGTCGTGCTCTGTAAAACTGATTATGCCACTCAAGTCGAAATGTTCGGCGATCCTAGAAAACTGATCTTGCTATCAGCCTCGTCACAGATGACACGTCCATTGCGGGGCGGAGCTTGCTGTTCTGTGCATTGCTTTTCAAAAGTGTTGATTTCGTTGAACATTTCAGGTGGAACCCGTCGTAGCACGATTGAAGCGATATGGTGTAAAATCGATTCTTGACTATTCAGTTGAATCCGATTTGAGTAGTGAACAGGCAGTGCAAACAGCGAAATCATCTCAACTGGCAGCTGAAGTTGCTCCTGCAGTACGTGCTTTTCTGTTATTGCTCTCATTTCTGCACAGTTTTCACACTTTGTTTCTTTATTCTTTCAACTATTTTTGCATGTGTTCATGAAAATACAGGTCGTTTCAATTCACAGCACTATCTTTCACGTTTTCCTGAGACTTTGGAAACTCGTTTCCGTGATGCATCACTTGAAAGGAAGATATTGTTACTGTCAATAGAATTGTCAAAATACGTGTTAATATGGCTTTTGGAAAAAATGATTGAAGTTATGAAGGTAGTCGTCAAGGTATGAAGGGTTTTACAGGCATTAAAATAACAGTACATTGAATTCTATTCGAGAGCTTACTCAAGGGCACAGTTCTTGCTGATAGTGTGGGCGGGGTCACACCTGTCTCAGAGCGTCCATCATTGGCGCGCTACCTTACACTGAACCAGCGAAATTGTGGGGAAGGGGACGTACTAATGAGGAAGGCACAATACTGGGCTTATGGTCCGCCCCGCCCATCAAATGAGCATTGAGGGTTCTTGCATCCTCCCGTTTCGATATTCTTGGTTATATGGAGAAACAAGGTTAG